AGAAGGTCTTCAGAGACCCTCAAACGTGGGCCATTAGTTTGTCCATGATATATTGGTCTTTGAGTTTAATAAGTACTGTGTTCATGAGAGGTGCAGTAGGTTTCAACTAGTCTTGAGCTAGAGCCCGTCTGGCAGCCAATGTAATTTTGCTGAAGAGCTGTGGTTCAGCTCTAGTCCAATTGCCAAAAAGGTGTGAAACGAGGCAGTGTTTGAAATGCACTGACAGGGTTTTTCACTCAAGTGAGAATTCATAGTGATTTGAAAATTTAAGGTCAAAACACTCAGCAGGTTGACACCACGCAACACCCTGAAAGCCTCAAGATGGCATGCCTCACCAATGCTAGTGCCAACACAACTTACCTTGTACCAGACCAGCCTCCAGCAAGGAGTCAAAGGAGATGTAAATCCTAGACACAGTATACAACCTAAAATAGCTCTTGAATATTTCAGGTTGTATAGGCACTTTGCCGTATGCATATTGCATGGTGGGTTAACAGGACAGTGGGTGCCGGTTCTGGTACGTCCTTGGGGCTGGAGATGCAGTGTCTGGGAGCACAAATGCGCCTGTTTTGCTTGTCACAACCAGGTCTGTTGATTTTTATGTTGCAGTCAATACACATTTCCTTGATTGGGCATAGGTTGATATATTGCTATCTCATACCACATGTCTTAATACTTAGCTCAGAAAGCAGTGGTTTTATCTTTTGTTCCTCATATTTTAGTTTGAGCTTACCAGTCTAGTACCTGTTATTACTGATGAGGTTTCAATAATGTTTACCTGGTGGATCTGTATTAGGGCCAAATGCCGTATAGCTTTTCTGTTTTTTTAGTATATGCATGACTTTAGTATCATTGTTATTTCTGATTAATTTACTATTTAAAATTGTGCCATTCTTTTGACACATGTACCTAATCCCACATTGAATCTATCTTGAATTTATCTCATGGTATGCGTGTATCTACGAAAAAAACAAAACACTGTAAACATTCTCTAAGTCACCTATGGTTTCAGTTTGGCTATTTTGGCCTTAAATGTGAGATTCACTTTGAATTCTCACTGTAGTAAATAATCTTGAAAGTGTATAGAAAATCCAACTCTATATACACTACATCACCTGTGTGTATATTCCTTAAATACAAAACAAAACAAAAACTGTAGAATGTAAAATATTTTTTTAGCTACATCCTTAGAACATGTTTTCTCTTGTGCAATATATAACGTGTTAATTTGACATCAAAATAAAAGGAACTTGCATAACATAGCATAAATATGCAAATGAAAGCTTTTAAATGTGATATTATGTCAATTGCCAACTCACGTTGTTAAGAGCCAAAATATCCTGGCTCTAGATGAAAAAGCCTTTAAAATCCCACCACTTCTTTAGTGTCTGGATTGCAGCTCTTACAGGGAATTCCTTTGATAAAAAAGTATAGGACACATATGGTACACATTCTCTTGAGCCAGCATATTGAAATAAACAAATAACTTTTCATGTTAAGATGGGGTTAATGCTAATCTAATCTGTTGAAGAAAAATTCCATTATTTTTATTATAATTTAAAATAAAAGATTACATGTATTGTGGCATATTTTCATATTATTTTGTATTACATTCATGTAAGTAAATGTGTCCTTTCTGCACATTTCCTGATTTACCTTTCCCTGTGAAGGAGACCACCTTAGTTCTCTTTGTTTAGAAGCACTGTTTATAGCCATGCAGGGAGTGCTCCCAACTATCCAGTATCTTGGGACACCAGGAAATTGTCAATGGGCAGCAAAGCACGAGCACATCGCTAGAGGCACTTATGCAATGTGGCAGGAACAAGAAGCATGCAGACAGCACTTCACTAGCACTCTCTGCATTGTTCTGTCTGTTGGAGGCAGCCTTGCGGAGTTCTGCCAACCACTTTCCAGGGCAGCCTCCTCATTATGGGCATCGCAGGTGATGCAAATAGTGTCACTGATAGAACATAGAACCCCCCCAAAGGCCCACCATCCCATCCCGATTCTGTACTTACTTCCTACGGTTGGGAGGTATGATGCACCTGATTAAAGGCCTGTGTGCATTCAGGAATTCTAGCTTCATTCTGGATAGGCATTGGGCATCTCAATAATGTACTCAATGACTAATGAAATGCAGCCAGCTGAACTTTGTGGGAGTGTTCTACAGTTTAGCAGGTCATAGCATAACTGTCGTGTGAAGTATTTTGTGAAATCGTTAGAGAAAGCTTTTATGAAATCTGTGCCACATTCTTCTGTAGTGTGACATGCTTACACTTCTAGTATTGGTTTTGTTGCCAAACCCTGCACGAACAAACGTCTTTTTCGTTTATTCATATAATCCCCAGATTAAAAGGAAATATGTTTTACAGATAGTAGTGGTGCAAGATTTGTCAATGAAATGGTTAAATTAATAAATTTCATGATATTTACTTTGTTTTGTGCAATGTGTTTTTTTTCCAGGTCCTTTTCACATGCTACGAGATCCGGTATCCTGATAAATTACTTATTTATTTATTTCGTAGAAACATTATAAAAGAATGCCTGTTAACCACTTAAGGAGGTAGGCAATTGTACAAGTTTGAATCAAAACAAAATCTAGAATTTGAGCTATATGTCTGTTCAACTATAATTTACCTCTTTCATACTTAGTGTACCCACACCTATTATATATCATTTTGTTCAGGAGAAACAGGGCATTAATTTCACATCAAATATTTATACATGAAACATAATATAATATGAATGAAATGCATGGCATTTTAACTGTGAATGTCATAATACTATTAGCTTTTACTGCAATAAAATATACATATTTATGTTTAGCGATGTCTCACAATTACAACATGGGATTTTGGAAACTTACAGGGTCAAATATAGGGATTTCCCCTTTTCAGTTTTTACAGTTTTTTAATTTTCCTGATTGGTTTGCTAGGCCTGGAATGAAAACT